AAAAAAAAAAAAAAAACGTTTCTTGAGGATTAAAGGCATAAACGCATAGGCTGACATGTTGAATGGCCGTGTTTTGGAATATGGGGCCGCGCTTCTGCACTTCACGAAAAAACTGTAGAATGCGGGTCATGTTGTGATGCAGGTTGTAGTGATACAGGGGCATGTCGACAGGACCGAAAAAGTATGTTGTCTTAGCTTGATAAAAGATTTCCTGAAGCATGTCAGATATCTGTGAGGCATAGGAGCCTGAGGGAAAGCGGCGGTACGGGGGGCCCTTTGGGATTGAGGGCGGGGGTGTGCGGGGGGGGGGGGGGGGGGGGGACCAACAACATAGTGTTCTTTTTGTTTCCCTCCCCAGGCATCCTCATGCCCTCCTCACTCCACCACACAGCTTCCCCTCAAGCTCATAGAGACCTCTCCATGCTCCCTTAGGATCCGCTTCTTGAGAATTATCAGAAACCTGTAAGGAGATCTTCCAGTCAGGCTTTTGTAGGGGCCAAAAACCTGGGCCCGCATTCCGACACTTTCCGTAAGGATATCCAGCGCCACAAGCAGCACTGCCTAGCAGGCCTAGCAATTGCCTACTTTAAAGACCTGATTGCTTGAGGAGTCAGAGCTGATAGAGCTCAACATTGTGATTGCCACATTGCACTATGGTTCTGCGCTCTGGAAGTTTGTTGCATGCCCAGACCTCGGTCTTGCCTAGACTTGTCTGGCCAAGGTCGCGATATTGACAAAGACAAGCTACACAAAAAGTACCAGAACCTTTTCAGACCCATGGCTAGCTGGCAACAAGCAGTCTTGTCACAAATATCCGCGCTGCAATCACACTGATGCGCAAGCATCCTAAGGGCAGCGCCTGGATCCCCTTGGCAGGGGCGTTGGTTTCCCGACCTTCCACGACTACATGGTGCAGGTTCTTGTGGATTACGACAAAGACGTGGCTGCTCAAGAGATGATTGTCGAGCAGTTCATCGTGTCTTGTCTTGCCAGCACGTAGAATGTAGGCATCGGACCAACACCCGCGAAGTAGATGCGGAATTCAAGTCCAAGTGTTGCCACCCATTGTTGATTTTATGGCCAGCGCCGCTCAACCCATGAACATCACCATCATCACAGTGCTAATTACTTCACCTTATTTTTTGTCACTAGCAGCTGGCCCATGATGACCTGCATCGCCATCACTCTCACGTCAGCCTAATCTGCTCAGGCCGAGGCTAACCTCGCCAGAGCCTTGCTTTTCAGTGAGGCTTGGTGTGACAGGCAGAAAGCGTAGTAATTGCGATTATTTCAAAATCCGGGGCCTAAGCATCCAACCTGCAGAGGGTATGTCTTGCAAACGGGTTTCTCGTTTCAGCTACATGAAATTAGTTTGAGGTGCGGCACCGCATCTTTCTTTTCAAGGCTCTAGATGTTTGATGTTTGTTTCAACGTCCCGTGCCCCATACGACACACTGCACGTTTCATTGCAAGTTTTACGCGCGTAGGGTCCCAGGCACCAAGGCTGTAAATTCAAAAGGCCCGCGCGCAGCAAAGTGTTGGTGTCGTTGCGCATGGATGCGCATGGTGCAAAGCACCCCAGCAGAGAATCAGAGTTTCCGTGACGGAAGTAGGACAAGGTGCTAGAACGAGCTTTTCTCGTTCGTGATTCCGCCATGCCTGGGCATCAGATCGAACACTAGCTGCAAATAAGTTGAAGGAGAATAATTTCACACTCCAGAGTGGCCTCACAGCACCTGTCAAAGCTGGAACACTTGTACAGCGCTGCATACTGGCCGAAAGCGTCAAGATCTTGCGCAGCATCCCAATCAGAAGCAAACCCAGCTGCAATGTAGCAGGTTGTTTACAAGGTGCAGAGTGGAGAGACTGGAGCTCCAGCTTGCACTTGAACCCCGTCACATTTCCGCCTGCCATATCCTTCCAGCACCGGTGCACCATCCTGAACTTCAAATCCTTTCGAACAGCCACGAGCTTGTTGAGGTTCTCAATTCCAAACATGTCACCGTTACAGGAGTTCGATGCGTGCACCCCAAGGTTAGTCGCTCAGGATGCACCGACCACACTTGCAAAGCGTGAGCACTGCCTCAGCTGCATCGGGCTCAGAATTCCCAGACTCTTCCGGGTCGCGATGCAGGGCCTGTTGATAAAGTTGGTTGCCTCAAGGCTGAGACAGGGGCAATGCCACAAATATCAGAGGCAGGATGGCTGATGTGTTGCACGGCACGAATGTTCTGGCATGGGGTTCAGTGAGCTGAAATCCGGAAAGCTGCCAAAAAATGCGGAAAGACCCAGTGCCGCAGTGAGCACAGCTCGTTGGCCTGAAGGTTTTCGCAACTCAGGCCCCCACTGAATCACTGCATAATACTAGTCACTAGTCCATGCTAGATCGGCGACTATGCTAGGCCAGCGATAGGAATGTCCTCACACCTCCTGCCAATGCCTGCTTGCAAGGCACGAGCTGGAGCTTTGTTGACCGAATTGCTCCAAGGTCCTTTGCGTGACCATTTGCTAAGAGCTGCATGTCCAAATTCCCGTTGCCTTCTGCAGGCTTCAAAGTCGGGCTCCAAATCCAAAGCCTTGTGGTTTTTGCCAGAAGGTGCAAGCAGAGCAACAGAGCCTTTGCAAGGCCGGGATCTTCCAGCGCAGGGTACAGCAGCTCTTTGAGAAGACAGATTGCGGAAGCCCAAAGGTGCCAGCTGCAAAACCTTCTCAAGATTGCAGAAATCTGCCTGTGGGAGAACGCAGGAACCAGAGGATGTGCCGGGCCTCCCCAGCTTGATCAAACGCGTGTATGTGGATGCCTGACACCAAGATGCCAAGTGAGCAAGAGTACTGCATGGCAGTGCGGAGAGTAGCTTCTGCTAGAGGTCTTCCAGCGGTACGGCCGGCGCCCGATAGTTTTCTTTGACCGACTGCTTCGCCGAAGTCTCAGTAGACAGCCTTCCTCGCATTTGCAAGCAGGCCTTCTGTCAATGCCCTTTTCCACGGTGCTGTTGTCGCTGCGCAGCTCCCAGCCTTTGGTAAGCTCAAAAGCTCGAAGATTGCGCTAGCAGTTTCTGTGCTTTTGTTCAATGAGTCCAAGCAAGCAAGCAAGCAAGCATGCAAGTGAGGAAGCCAGAAAGCAAGCAAAAAAGGAAGCCACCAAGCGAGCTAGCGAGCAAACAAGGAAGGGAAGGAAAGAAGGAAGAAGGGAAGGCAAGAAGGAAAAAATGGAAGCAACTAACCAAGAAAGCCAACAAGCACGCAAGCGACCAAGCAAGCAGCAAACAAACGAGACGGTAGCAATCAACCAAGAAAGCCAACAAGCTCTTGCATGGCCCCCTATCCTCGAACATCCAAAACAAACAGAAACTGAAAAACATGCCTCGGAAAGCCTACGTCCGGCCACGAAAAGAAGATGCAACTGCGGAATCGATGTGTAGAAGTTGCACTTGTCAGGCAGAAGTCCTACCCACAGCTGGGCGACCAGGTAGGCCCAAGCTGGCCCAATTTTGCATTTGCGAGTTTGGGCAGGGTCATTCGAGCTGCAGTTTAGATTCCGTTCGGCCAGATCCTACTAGCAGACGTTCAAGACTAGGCTTTCTAGAAAGAGTTTAAAATCGAATGTCATCTTGAATTATCAAGAGCACTGGTGGGGGAAGGTGGACTCCATCTGGTTCACCCTGCGCCTGCAGAAGGACAAGGAAAGAAAGGACCTCCGTGCATCGCTATGGTCCGAAGCCCATCAGACATGTGAAAGGCTCCAACGGCTGGTTGCGCCACAGTGTGCTTGACAGCAGTCACGCAGTGTTGCGAGGACACGGACACAGAGCAAAAGGAGGAGGCCTTGCGAAAGTGTCACATCAAAGCGTTCACAGTGGATAGGGGAAGTCTCGTACCACCCTATATACGTTTTTTCGCCTAGGAAGAGTAATTACAGTAAAACTTGGGTTCTCCATCCTCCGCAGGTCCACCACCCTGTGTTGAACACACATGCCACTGGTTCACAGGAGACACAAACTTGACAAGCTTAGCTGAATCATTGGGCCGCATTGTGCAATGAACTGCAACGTCCAAGACCCAGGCTCTATACATGTGCAACGTGTAGGCTGTAATGCACAGCGTTCGGAATGGTTCCGCACGCCTGGCTTATTGCCTCGTGCTTCTGGAGTTTTGCGGCCTTGGGGGCTGCACAAGATGATGCAAGCGACACCTCTGCCATGCTGGAGCAGCTGACGGTGGCCATGGTCGCCAAAGTAGTTGATGCGAACATGGTGGACATTCGCAGCTCCGCTGATGGCAAGAATCTGCTTAGGTTAGGCAACACGGGATTACCAAAAAAAGGCGACGCCAAATTGGATGAGGACGGGCGCTGAGGGGAAGCTGGTAAATTTGTTGGTTTCGTGCCATTAGGTTGCGCCAAAACCCTGAGGAGGCTCGCTCGGCTGCCAAGGCAGCTTTGGAGAAGAAGCTCTCGAAGTCCATGATTTGGTGGAAGGTACTTGCTTTCTTGCTTTATCTGCAGGCCATCTTACAGTCCAAAGGGAGCTGGTGCCTTGCCAGGCCGCCCCACCCAGTGCCCAGAGGACAGCTGTTAAAGGGCACAGCGCAAGAAGCGTGTGTAGCCGTTGCCGTTCAGGACTGAAGAATCCGACAACGTCAGGGTGGCAGACGTTTGGACGATAGAGGGAGAGCACATTCCCAGCTACATGATCCAGGAGGGCCACCTGCTTCACAATGAGGACTGCTGCGTCAGAAGTAGATTTGCACTATGGATGAATTATCTCAGCCATTGCAGCCGTGGTGACAGGAGTATGCAGAGGAACTGGCGCGGGACATCCTGTCTGTTGCGGCTGGCAAGGAAAAGCAGGAGCAATACCAAGCCCTGGAGCAAGCTCTCCGCGAGACGCAGGCAGAGCTTCAGACAGAGACTAGTCCTGGTGAGAAGAGCCAGGCGAAGGACGGGCTTGGGTCTGGCAGTTGTAAGCAATGATTGATGCGTCTGTCGCAACTTGAGGCACTGCAGTGCGCAAGCTTAGGCGTAGTTGACCCTATTATTACAGTAGTTTCCATTTCGTTTTCCATTCTCCCTATATAGCCCAAAGCATATCCCCTATACGTCCCCCAGATATCCCCTATATATCCCAAATATATCCCCCTATATATCCCCGATATAGCCCCAACATATCCCCTATACATCCCCTATATCAAGTAGAGTGTTAGGATCGCAGCACGTCCGAACCGGCTCCCCGTGCTTCCCTAACCCTGGGATTGCTTATGTTCGCGTTGGTCTGCGTTGCTTGGCTGAACTATATGGGGCACATATTTGGGGATATACTGGGGTTTTATTGGGGCTATATCGGGATAATGGAAAATAAAATGGAAGCTACCGTAATGGATATTGCATGGGCTTGCTTCCAGTGACCAGCTACCCGTCTGCCCAGAAGCTGCAGCTGAGGCACTCTTCGCTGGCTTGGTGTGGGTCTTGGGCTCGCTGACAAGCCCCAAGACTGTCAAAACCAAGAAGGCAAAGAAAGGTTGAGGCAAAGATTCTTCTGGGGCCTCTGCGCTTTAGCGCCTACGACCATCAGCATCAGTCCGAGCGCCCGGAAAATAAGAGGGTAGAGTTTGTCTGGCGAGCCTTGAAACCTCTGCTTTCGCTTCTACCGCGCCTGATACTGTGGATGCAGCACGGTCAGGCTGCAAAGGTACCAGAAACGTTGGAGCCCCAAAGTTCTGAAAGTGATGGGGTATCTAACCCGAGCTTGAGCTGATGCGCTTTCAGGCCAGAGGCGGAGGTGGTGCCTGAGCCTACGGCGCTTGACAAGGCCTCGTTTCCGGCAACGTTGGCTGTGCAGATCTTGCGTGTCGTTTGGGCAGGATGAAGAGGTTGCCGACATCGCCGAACCGACGTTCGTCTCCAAGTACTTGTGGCTTAGGCTTGTAGGCTTTGTCTTCTTCGAATCTTTAGCAAGATGGCTTTGCGGAACACCTCAGGTCAGCCGCAGCTTGCAAAAACCTTGCAAGATGTAACACTGAACAGAGAACCCGCAGAAAGAATGCCACAGCATCAGACAGACCAACCATTCCGCGCACTCCCGAACATGTATCTGATACTAATTGAAGTGCATGCTTTATTGCACTGAGCACCTGGAAGTCCGGAGAAGGGACAAGTGGGCAACGGCAAGAAAATCCAGAATCATATGTGCCGATGGGGTCATGGTCTCCTAGCTGTTGCCGCATGACATGGTGGCCGCCTACCCGGCAGACGACAAGGCCTCAGCACCAGTCTTCATGAGTGCGCTTTAGTCTTGTTTTTTCATCAGGGTCGCTGAGCTCGGCTTGCCAAAGGCATGCTTCCACCAACTTGTTGTGACGTCCTCTTACGTCGGAGACCTGCAGCCGCATGAGAACTGTCCACCTGAGCCTCTGAGGCAACAGCAGCATTGCACGCGGAATCCGAGTAGCTGTTGGTTGTTTGTTGATGAGATCAACCGAGATGTTAGAAGTCATCTAAGGAGTCGCCAGGGCCTTCAATGGAGTTCTAGCAAGCGGCCACAGTTGTGATGAAAGCATTGCTAGTCACAGAGGTTGTTTGAGCAGCCCATGGTGACTTGGCAGCCGAGCGGAGGTTCCAAGGAGCATCGTCGGTTCGAAAGTGGCGCGTATGCCTAAGTAATCTCAACACAAAAACATGACAGCGGTAGGTTGCAAGTCATATAGCTCTGGGAGTCCCTTAGCCGTGTGCCAAAACCTCCCAAACAATCAAAAGACCGTGTGCTATTTAGCCCCCTTGATGGAGGACCGCTTCTGCCTCATCGTTCTGCTCAGGCAGATGAGTCAGACTGCCCAAAGTACGCTGCCCTGGCTTGCTTGGCTGGTAGCAGACATACCTGGGAGCAACAACCCGCAGGAACAAAAGTGTTGAGACAGGCAACAGTTCAACCATGCTGTGGGATGTGGGGGGCGGAGGACGGTGCTCGCTTTGGCTTTGCTGGCAACTGGTGGGCGGTGGAGCGCGGTCAGGACTCAGCACAAAGATGTGCAATCAGGGCAATTAGCCTAATCATCAATGAAGACTCCTGTACTGTACTCGAGAACCAGGAGCTCGCCAGCTACCAGCTTTTGCCTGACACCGACCAGCCCATAGCGGACTTTGAAGGCGATTGCGACGTGCTTCTTTTCAGCCAGTCGGCCGCGATCGCGGAACCGCAGGAGGGACCAACTGAACTGGAGCCTGACACAGCGTGGCTGATTTTGCTATTTGTTTTTGGTGATTCGAGGTCATGCGGGAGGGCTTCTCCCATGAAAGTTTTGCAGCTGCACATGGCCTGGTGCTGCTAGCGACCTGCACCGCACACCTTCGACCGGTGAGTGATGTTACGGAGGAGGTGGAGGTGCGGCCACCTGCCCTCAGCTCAGGAGGCGCGTTGCTGTCGGGGATTGTCGGGGTGCTGATGGCGTGCCCGCCCTGCACCTGCACTGCCAGGCCCTTTAGTCGTGCCTCCGGATGAGCCGACAACGCTCGTCGAAGCGTTGGAGAGGACGTCTTGCAAGAACGGACACAAAGGCCTGGTCCTCTACGATGTCACGGGCCAGACGGAAGAGCTAACTTATGCCGAGCTGCTGAAGCGCGCACGGTTACTGGCAGCTGGCTTGCCATCTTTCAAGAGCCTCAGCCAACTCTTAGCCTCGGCTCTCGGGGGGCTATGGCCTTGTCTTCCATGATGCGCAAAACTCAGGATTGGGAGGAGCACCTGCGCAGAACCGACTGAGCTGACGGAGTGCCGTCGCGCCGCAGTCTTGCAGGCAAACTTGAGCCCACATAACGACATGAGATTTTGCAACGTTTTCGTGTACAATCTCGGCCGACCGACTCACAGGTACCTCGCATGCCAGATCATTTTGCGTGCTTCTGGGGTGCCCTTTTGTCTGGCACTTGCCCTGTAACTGTCGCCATTCCGCAAGCCGCTTGACAGACCAAGTTCTGAAGAGTTGAACCGTGAAAGGGCGCAATGCACAGTCAATGAATACAATCACATGGCGACACGGCCATTGAGGATTATGCAGATGGTGCTCATGCCGTGTGCTGCAAGATTCGCAATGTTTGGCACTTGTTGGATCGACCACCAATGATCACCGTGGCGTCGCACCTGGAAAAGCTCAAGCGGCTGGACTTGTCCACTCCTGAAATCTCTGTGGAGCAGGCCCAGCTCCTCACACTGGAAATGCTGCTCAGCTCAAAGCTTGTTGGGTTGTCCCAGAAGTGGCTCAGGTATGGAATGACTTGCATGTGGAAGGGCCGCTGTCAATGTTAGCATATGAGAAGGCACTCTTGACAGGAGAAATAGGGATCCCTCTTGTAGTTCAGTATAGTCCTTAATCAGGAACCCACGTTCTTTCAATGTTGCAGGAAATATTGAGTGTAGTTTTCAAAAGGGATATAGACAAGGAAATGGAAACTACCCCAATATAGCCCCAATACTACCCCAACATACTAGATTCTTCCGGAGCAAAGAGGCTGATGGAGCGCGCCTCGGAGTGCGGCCCTCGGCATCCTATGCTCACCTTGGCATATAGGGATATATGGATGGTTGTCAAAATTATGGTCCCTTTTTGGGTACCCTAAATATTAGGTGCCGTATTATAATAGGGACCCAAAAAGAGACCATAATTTTGACAACCACCCATGTAGGGATATTACCCCAATAATGGAGAATCGAAAGGATAATAAAACGGAAAACGAAATGGAAACTGGGAGTACACAGAGGTTACCTTTGGTTAACTGGGAATGGAGGAATGGAAAAGAAAATGGAAACTACTGTAATGGGTTATATAGGTTTAGGGGTTAGGGTTGATGGTTTAGAAGGAATGGAAAGGAAAATGTCATGGGCCATATAGGTTTAGAAGTTGGGGTTGATGGTTCAGAAAGAATGGAAAGGAAAATGGCGATATAGGTTTAGGGGTTAGGGTTGATGGTTTAGAAGGAATGGAAAGGAAATGAAGGAATGGCAAGGAAAATGGAATGTACTATAATGGTTTTATAGGGACTACTATAAGGATCCATTCCTTCATTCCAGCTAACCAAAAGTAATTTCCTGATTCTTGCGATCCGTATCAGGGCAACACAGAGCATGACCTGGTCACCCTCGCCTGAAGATGTGGCATTCTATCAGAGACTTGGCATAAAGTGCTCAAGGGGCCTAAGCTCTTCAGCAGTGTTGAATCCGGATTAGAGCCGCGCGGTGGCAATAAAGTAAAACTTTCGGACAACTATTCTGAATTTCCTGTTCGATTTCGGATGGTTCCAATTCAGTAAAGTGTTTTCTGCCACCCAAAATCTGGGAAAGGTTTACGATGAGGCCAGATGCTGGTGGCTTGAAAGCCAGGATTCTCACAACCAAGCTTTTAAACATGAAGGCCCGGCTCTATTGCCTTCTGATGCCACCAAAAGCTATCGATTTCTTATCAAACCTCTTATTCGAACAGGCTAGGCAATGACATTCAAAAGGGGACAGTCCAGCGGACCCCCTGATCCTTAACGATATAAACGATTTCGGGGGAGGGGCTCCAGTATGTAAAGGTTCCTGGGTTGGATACATGGTGAGACCAGTGTTAGACTGAACGGCCTTGGATACAAATGAAAAGGCCAGGCTCCATTACTAGTGACTTTGGAATCTGGAATCTGATTCTAGCAAAACATGCATTTCTTAGTTGTCCGCTTATTCGATTTGGCCAGGCAATCAAATTCCAAAGGGGGTAGTCCCGCAGGCCCCGTGAACCGGAATTATGTAAATGATTTGGTGTGTCTCAATTATGCAAAGATTGTTGGGTGGGTTCGTGGCGAGGCCGATCTAATTTGTGCTCAATTGATTTAATTCGATTTCTAGGTGATGGTCATGGAAGTTTGATTCTGCTTGATTAGAGCTTAACAGTGTTTTCAACAGGTTTTTTGATTTTAATCAGGTTTTCAAACGTTTGCATGTGATTTTAATTGGCTGAAAGGCCAAGCCCTTTAGCGGGGACCCAGCCCTTCCCCTTCTCTGCGAAGCTACTCTGACTTTTCTCCACTCTCTCCTATTACCGAGTATCCTGACCTTCGCATTCTCTTCGGAACTAAACTTAACTAAACTAAGCCACTCCTTTCTCTTCTCTTCTGAATTCCTGAATAGAAGCCCAAGGATCTCCCTTACTGTAGGATCCCTTTCGTTTTGAGGGCTCATTCTCATCGAGGCGGGAGCCCAATGACTAAAATTGAAGAATTCGGGGCTCAAGGCTGAGCAGCGGATCTACTGGGGTGCCAAAGTGCATCCAGATTGCACATCGAGGCTGGCGCTTTTGTTTGTTGACAGGTTGAAAACTTCTGAGAGTGAAATGGAGGTGTAGTGGCGCATATCCAAGCAGAGGCCCGAGTCTGTGGCTATGGCGCGCATGACGTGCATGTAAACTTCCTGCCTTTGGATCATGTCGTACCGATCCTTACCGCCTCTTTTCTGCACCAGCACACGTACGGTCTTTGCGTGCCAAGGGGCTGACTGTACAAGACTGCCAGCCCCACACTGTCTTGCACGATCAAGGTTCATTGCTGCGACGTTTATCACGGCTGCTCGGAGGTGCAGGCCGAGGTTGCCTGGGTGGTGTCGCAGCCTCTCCGCTGGCTGAGCCTTGTTGCCACGCACCGTGCCACGCGCACATGGGCGCCCAACTTCGCGTTGCCAGCATCCACATGCATCAAGTCTTTTCTACATATTGGCAATTTCTCATGCAGTAGCAGCCCCACGACTCAGGTCAACAGGCTACATGTGAGAACAGCCCAATCCATGTGAGCTAAGGTTCAAGTTGGTCGCGGATGCCTTGCGCCACATCAAAGAGCCCGAGGAGATGGACCTCTCATCCTGCAGATTTTGGATGAATGCCGGTGAGTCTGCACCTCAATCCGCCTTACTTCTTCAACTTGTACTCGCACTGAAGCATGGAAACCGCTCGAGGCAGGTGACGATCCCCGTTTGCGAGGACTTCCTGGAGCAGACGAATCAGTTCGGTGTGCGCCGTTCTACGATGCAGCCGGCCTTTGGCATGGCTGAGGACACCTGCAATGAGTGTCCTTCTAAGTTTGTTCCTCACTGCATGACAGGCTTGCACCTGCATGACGTACAACAATCGGTTTGAGGCAAGGCGTTGCAAAAGTAAATTGAGCCGTTTGAGAGCTTTCGATTAGGCTTGCGGCGCAAGTCGCCTGGGCCGGCCAACGTTTGTGAACCTCGGTCCGCCTGTTCCGGGCATTGAGATCCGCATCGCCAGCGAGGAAGGCGAGACTCTTCAGGAGGAAGAGATCGGCCGTTTCCAGATCCGAGGCGGCCATGCTGGGCTGCATGTTCAGCATTGAATTGCAGTGGGAAGGCATTAATCTCAATCTCCCCATGCTAGGCCCAGTCATCACGCCTGGCTATTTGAACAACGAAGAGGCCAACAGAGAGGCCTTCGTCGGAGATGATTGGTTCAACACCGGCGACGTAGGATTCATCAAGGAGGGGCAGCTTTACCTGACCGGATTCTTGGTGGAATTCAGCTGCCTTGTCTTTGTGCCTGTGCAGCCGGCTTGCTGGCCAAGTAGCTGAGCAAACCTTTCCGCTTTGGCCTGTTGACTGGCTTATTCAAGTTCCTGAATCAACTGCAAGGCAGAGAGAAGGAGATGATCATCGTAAGGGGGGCAAATTTCTACTGCTACGAGGCATGCTTCATGCGCAAGAGAATGAGGTGCTGGCGAGCGACAGGGGAATGGCTAGTATTGAGGGTGTCTGCGCTTTTCCAGGTCGAAGACGTTGTGAATACCATGGAGGGCGTCTTGCCAACATTTACTGCTGCAGTCTCCACCCATGATCCAGCCTCTGGAACTGAAGGCTATGCCGCAGCGTGTCGGCAAGCAGTATACTTCTGGAATCCGAACATGAAAATGCTTGCAGGACTTGCTATCCTCTTTGTACCGCGGCCTTCTGTTGATGAAGATGACTTGGATGAGGCCGCTTGAGTTGCCGGGCAGTACAGTGTCAGTGGGCCAACGCTTTGCTATCTCAGGTGGTGAAGCAAATCCGGGCAAGGCTCGTGCGGCATATCGGCTTGACTCCAAGTGTGGCCCTTAGCGAAAACAGCTGGACATTGCACTTAGCCCATAGCACACCGATGGCAATGCCGGCAAGAAACAGCAATGGCAGCATGAATGACAATATCTCGGCCATGAACTTGCATACAGCAGCTATAGCAGAAAGAAACACTAGTTTCCAAATATCCGAAGGAGAGTACTGTGCTGCACTGCCCACCTAGTCCACTTCGACAGGCCACGTGGTGCCGCTGAAAGAGAATGAGTTTCCAAAGACAACAAGCGGCAAGATCCAGCGATCAAAGCTCAAGAGCCTCGCCTGAGAGTTTGGTCTGCTTGCTCCAACATAGGTTGCCCAAGAGCCCTTCTGCCAAGGCATGCGCTGCAGGAAGGCAAATTTCTGGAGCGGACTAGCGCCGCAGTCGCCAAAAGATGGCTGCATTCTGCATTCTTCAGCTTCTTGGGCATCACTGGCGAGATGTAGCCGCACAAAGTAAGGCCTTGTGAGAAGGCAACCGAAGTGCAGAAGGCGCCGTACCTGTACCCAGACTTCAAGCTCGTGTCATGGGCCATAGCTGATCTGATGCTTGCATGCGACAGGAGGTGCCGCAAGTCAGCTCAGACCTCTGAGCAATGGCTGCAGGTTTATGCCATTCCTGAAGCGGGAACTTCGTTGCCAGCCATCCTAGGTGAGGAGCCGAAGAAGCCGTGCGCATTCGCCTCAGATATCCAGAATCCAGGCACCTGTGCATAGGCCAAGCAAGACGCGCGTTTGGAAATCACAACCCTACAATTTGCAGACCGCAAAACAGGCCAGTCGAGCTCAATGTCACTCAATCCTAAAGAAGAAGAGACATGATGCTCAGCAGATTGCGCACTTCCTCACACAACCCCACCCGGCATGCCTGCGACTTTCCGCTTGTCACTGAGGCAGTTCGGCCAGCCCCTTCATTGACCAAAGCACGAGTGCATCCCTGAGATGTGGCCGTGTGGCACCTTCTGGCGGACTCTCTTTTCATGTGAACTTGGGGATGCTGTTAGTCTACACATGTGTCCAGTGTCCAAAGAGGGTGGAGGAAACAGTGAAAGTAGGAAAGAAGAAAAGAAAAAGGAACACCATTCAGCTAACCGTGCCAAGCAACCCATCTCTGAATGTTTGGTCGAGGCTTTGGCACTTCAGCCCCGCGCTTAGACTCTCGTACTTGGTAGGATAGGGACTACTACATGGATCCGTTCCATCATTCCCCTCCTGAGGACTAGGCAGTGATTAGAGTGCCGGATCAATTGGTTTTTTGTGCGCTTCTTGTCGTCTGCCTAATAGCCCCATTTCTCGGCAGGGATTCTTGTGCATTCACTCTGAAGACCCATCGCAGAAGCGCTCGCAGAAGCATGCTGTGAAACAAAGGGCCGCGGAAAGTAAACCCCCACGAGCGGAAGGGCTTCCCTCTTTCGCAATTTTCAACAGGAACAACAAAAACACAAGAGAGCCACTTGATGCCTCATGTCTACGATGCTAGGCTGGCCCTGTTGACGTCGCGTCGTGGTTTCTTTGTTAAGAGTGCCAGGTTCTGCAGATGATAAGATCCATTTTTCGCAGTCTACTTGCAACTGGCATTCTGGGCACTTCAAATGCTCAGGTGTGAGCTGCTCGCAGCCTTCACAGCAAAGTCCTGAGTTGCAGTGCAGAGGAGGGCTATTGCACTGTCGTTCTGTCAGCCCAGTCTGCGTTCAAATTTCGTGGAGCCCCAGTTTTGGATGGTATTCGGATGGGAAAAACAGCCAATCCGCCCCGCAAGGCTGCACGCTTTCAGAAGAAGCTGCATGAGTTGGAACGGGTTTTGGCCTTGTGAAGTGACATGCACTGTGGGCTTCCACATCCTGAACAGCCTGCTGCCATTGAGCTGAGGAGTCTTCGGGTGCCGCAACCTCATTACTCTCATTGCTTGACAAAGGTAATGTCATCCAAATCGCGCAACCTTGCTCAGGACAAGGATCCCAGTTACCGCATGGCGCGCATCTTGGGCGCTGTGGGCGTGCTGCTATACTTTCAGGGTGCTGGCTTGGACACATGGTCACTGAGGCCTTTCGAAAGTTGGTTCGAAAGGAGCAGAGCCAGGTCATTCCCAGGCAGGAAGTGTCACATAAGATTCAGTTGAAGTGGATTGCTCATACTTTGCAGCAGGTCATCCATCATAGCCATCATTTTTTCTTGTCGCCGTTGTCCCCAAAATTCAGCAGGATGGCTGTAACACCGGTCTTTTCTTTTCAGGAAAACGCTGCCACAATCGCCACTGTAACTATAGCAAAAGAACGTGCCACTGCCGCCGCCATTGGGCTACAACTGCTGCCAACTCTGCCGCTAGTAACACTAGTACTGCTGCTAGTAACACTGCCGCTGTCACTGCCTACCCTCGCGCTTCCCCATTATCCCCCTTCCCCGTGCCGCCATATCCAACACTTCCGGCCATGTAACGTTTCGAGGAAGGGGGCCTTTTCCCTTCTCCTACCGCTACTGCTGCTACTTCCTTCCATTGCGCCGAAGTTCGCTAACTCATAGCAAACAAAAGGCAGATCATTGACCTGGCCATCAAGAAATTTTAAGGGACAGCGACCTCATTTGCGGACCCGACAGGGTTCGTTCTTCGAAGCCCAGCAACTATAGTTAACAGATATTAAAAGCATATAATGGGACCCGCAGCCCAAGCCAGAAAGTTTAAGAGGACGAGAACACTACCCAAGTAAGACAAGCACGCATCTTTCCCACTAGCTTGCCGAGCATGTGGTTGCCAGTAGCAAAATGGCCCACAGCAACAATAGGCTCCCGCATTCGGCAAGAACTACCATACCACATTTGCAATGTCCTTGGCTCCAATCAAGTCTACAAATTTTCAAAGACACATTGTCACACCTACGCATGGGGCGCATCCACGGACTCCCACAATTGGTTTCACATGCTGACCTTTTTTGCAATTGCAATCACGTATTTAGTCCTTAGACTCCTGATACAGATCCGTACGTTCAGTGCTGCACGTCTCATGCAGCTTGAAGCTCAGCTCATCCAGCAGGAGATTATTGGTCGCCTTCATTCTTCAGGTGTCCCTAACGATCAGAACGCACCAAGATACCACGGAAAGCAGTGCAAATAATTCGCGTGACGGGCGCAATCCATATACCACCACCCGAAACTCTTTCAAAGAGAGCACATTTCGGACTTTGGTGCAGATGTGAGCTCCGCCGTATAATGTAAATGTAAACGCGTTTTTTGGTGTAGCGCTAGCGCCAAGCGCCAAGCTGGCCGTGGAAAACTCAACGCCAGGGTCAATTCCTTGCATTCCCGACTCAACAGGATAGCTACCCAAGGAAAACTCAACGTGTCTCGATGCTATCCCACCGCAGGCCCATGTGCACACGAACCAACAGTGAAAGAGCGTGGCTCATCGCTTGCTTTCCATGGTTTTTCGGTCCCAACAAGCCGACGAATCTGGCTGGCACTTACTGACACAAGCAAGTCGCAGTGCGCTACTACTCCTGCTGCTACTACCACCACCAGCGCCGCCGCCACTTCTTCTCTTCACCATGACAACAACGAAGACGCAAATGCCTCTGACAGGTATGGCTTCGATTCCAGCGAAACTGGAGCCCTGACCACAGCTTTTGAGCATGCAGGGGAAGATAAAGGATAGCCTCATGAAGGCCATTAGCTTGACTTGGCCTTGCAATGAAATTGGCTTCGGAACTCTCAGCACCCTTGGGGCCTTGAGCTTCATGTTTCAGGTTCCGATTGTAAACACCTTTGTCTCTGCAAAGGTCGAGGAGATGCTCGTAGCCTTTGAGGCGTTTAAGGAGGCTGGTGGGAGAACAGAATCTTTGATCATCAGACTCTAGCTTCCGACTGCTGTACTTACTGCGACATGTAGCGCTACCGTGACCACTTGGCATGATGGTCACGATCTTGAGTCTATCAATCTTTGCTAGGTACGGATGTGCCACTTTTCTGAGTAGTCTTCCCACACATCCTGCTCTTTAGCGCCAGGATCCCGACGTCTATGTGAACTCCATTGCAATCAAGGAGGCTTTGCTTCAGACCAAGCCATCCAGGCCAGAAGAAAGCTAACAGCTGCAGCCACCGGACTCGTACCTAAAGCTGTCCCGATTTTTTCTTCTGATTGGAGTCAGGACTCCTGCTTTTTTCAGTCTTCCAGCTGCAGCTCTGCAAGACAGGAACTTTCAAAGAACAGCAGATACCTCAACCTGATCGGGATGGGACAGTTCGGAGTTGGCAAGTCCGGCAATGTCCGCCAATGTCCGCCAATGATTTTAAGGCAACGCCGATGCCGATGGCAACGGACGGGTTTGGAGCACAAACATTAGTTGTTCGCTGCTGGGCCATTTTTTTGGGCCTGGAAAAGGACCCGGTTTCGAGGTTTTTGAGAAGAAGCCCGTGTAGCTGATGCTCATGGTGATGCGTGGGCGGGGAGGTTGACCGAAAGCCATTCCATTTGATGGTCATGATGCGGGTGCTTGACAGAAAAGCAGTTCCAGCTGACGCTCGTGATGCCGAGGGTGGTTTAAGGCTTCAGCCAACCTGCTGTCAAGCAAAGAAGCTCGAATGGACTTTGCCAGGCACCTACTTTTCAAGCCCAAAACAGCCAAGAAACACTGCAGAGTCTGGCTCGCAGGGGGGGATACAGAGAAAAAGGGATAGGTAAAAATGTCTTCCAGAAAAGGCAACAACTTTGCGCACGACAATCCTGAATTGTTCAGGGCGTCCTGCAAAAGCCAGTCCACCTGATGCCCGTGAAGCTGAAGCAGTTTCCGTCTTTGAAGCTTTCTACGGTACAAATTAGTGTCGCTGATGCTTGTGATGGCCTTCTCTACGGAACAATCTCATAGTCTTTCGGAGCAAGGTCGATTGAATGATTGGTAAAACTCAAGGGTCTACAACAACCCCTCCTGCCTTGGCTGCAGTCCTCGACTGTCGGATAGCTTCTCACGTCAAGGTGTGCGCCACAGATGCTGTCAGCAGTGCACGTTCCATCACCCTGGTTGATTCTGAGTCCTCTCTGTGGACTGCAAGGATTTCGCGCATGCCCTAGCGATTCACACATTGACACTTTCTCGCAACCATGGCGTTGTGCTTGAGGTCATCCAGCTTCTCCGTTCTCAGCTAGTGGCCTTCAGCCATCCCGCGTTCCAGAAGTCCATCAGAGCTCTCAAACTGAAAGCATTCGCCTTGGCCATCCAAGCGTGCAGACTTCCTTTGTTGCAAAACCGTCGCCTAGCTAGGCTTCAGATTCCGAAGATGGCTTTTATCATTTGCCAGGTGCTAGTTCTTTTGTTAAGGGTGAGGCCGAGATACTTGTGTGGTGCGCAGGTCGTGCCCAGCTGGCCCTGACCGTCCAGCGATTGATCCTGCCTAGGCCAGGCCGTTTTTGCGTGGGACACGGACAGCTGCGTGCCCCTCAGAGGTTCGGTTTCGAAGCGTCCCGCGAAGGCCGATAACTTTCACCTAAACTCCAGTCGTGCCAAAGCCGTAGCCAGGTGTGCAGTCGATGATCATGCACTGCGCCCCGTACGTCCAGGAGCCAGAGGCGCGTTGGCCCGGGCAGACAAGCTTCACCAATCATGCTAGGGCGACCGGAGACTGAATGCCCGCTACTTTGAGCAAAGCACCAGGCAGCAAGCATGTGCCGGCAGGTGGCCATCCTTTTTGATGGCATTAACAGCAGGCCCAATTTTGGAATCAAAGCGGGGCAAACTGTGATATAGGGGTATAATATTGGGGTCATATAGGGATAATGGAAAAGAAAGTAGAAACTACTATATTGGGGTTTTATAGGGTTTAGGGTTTAGGGTTGCGGCTTATCCTGGATCCGAGTCTGGGTTCAAAAAAAAAAGGTTGGAGTTATATGGGTGGTTGTCAAAATGATGGTCCCTTTTTGGGTACCCTAAATATTACGTGCCGTATGATAATAGGGGCCCAAAAAGGGACCATAATTTTGACAACCACCCATATGTTCATCCTCTCTGAAAGGCTCGGCATGACCCAGGCCGCATGCCAGCGTTTTCGCGACATGGCACACAGCAGGGGCCTCAGGGAAGGAGAGATGCTTTCCCCTAGCATCCCCCTTATGAGCCCTATAATCGGAACCCTATAGAATCCCCTAAATAATCGGAGCCCAATATAATCCCCTAAATAAAAGGAACCCTATATAGTCCCCTAAATAGTGGGAACTCTATATAATCCCGCAGCATTCTTTGCAAAGCCCGCGGCCTGTCCTGCCAAGGCCTTGCTGCGAGGCTGTGAGGGGGTTGTGTCTTGCCTCCACAGATGCTAGTTTAACGTAGACCCCAAAATACTTTGGTCCTCACTATAGGGACCCCCAAAAGGTACACCAATTTTGGGAAACTCCCACATGGAGAATGATGGAGCATTGCATGCAAATTCGTTTTTGAGACGTGGCAGGCAGGCGTGACGAGCTTGAGAGGCAAGAGTTTGGAAAGTTGGAACGCCCAAAAATTCTTTGCCAAGCTTTGCAGGTTTTGCTTTGTGGGACACTTCGAGCCAAAGGCCGGCCAACAGTTTAGGATGACAATGGCGCGCTAAAGTCTTGAAGTGTGAGGCTACGAGAGCTCTAAGCACGGACTGCAGGGCTGTGTCCCTCTCCAGAGCCATTTGAAGTGTCAGATGCCGAGCAATGCACAGCTAAGCGTCGGCAGCTCCATCACCGGTTGTTGTCCAGTTTCTGTGGTTTCGTGCTGCTCCCGAGAATGGCGTAGCTTCGTCAAGCTACTAAGGCTATTTGTACATCTGCCGCGGGCCATTTGGATGCTATGTGCCCAGTGAGCGGGGCCACGAATACGTGAACACACCAAGTCACTCGTTGATTTAGGCTATTTGCCACAGGGAATGTGTTTCTGCCTGCCCATTGCCATCATTGAGAACAGGAGGGCGCGTGGTTGTTTACGGTCTTTAGATGCCATGCCAAGTGATGTCGCTCTCCAGATGAGCTTTCAGGTGGCCACCCTTCACCCATTAGGACATGCCTCATAATCTCAAAACATAGTGAAATAGCCATGCCCGACCCTGAAGTGCTTGTCATGGATTATGGCATCATAGTGCTGCTTGCTCAATACGACTTGTTTCGAAGCATTGGCGGAAGCCTTACATGTTACATGCAAGATGCAACACGGCCTTCTCACTTCCTGGCCTGTGCGTAAAATTGACTTCCAAGCTTCGAACAGAATCTTTTTAGAAACGTAGATCTTGAGACTTGCCCTTGCACAGTCTCCACGCTAGGCTGATTAATTCTGTTGCAAATGAATTGTGCTGGCCTTCTTTCCACATTTAAAGCATCGTTCCGGAGGCAGCAGTCATTGCAACAGTGTAGTTTTGGCGCGGAAGATTTCTTGTAGCAAATTCGGTCCCACGCCCATGATGTGTTGCCTGGAGGGCACGGAAGATTGTTACGAGTTGAGAGCATATACCACATGATATATTGACTACCATGCATCCTTGCCAGCTCCTTTGCTACGGCCAACGACTTGACGCAAAGCTGCTTTTTGATCCAACCATGTGCACGAAAGCGGGCCATGGTTTTCACTTCGTGCTTTGGTTCCCGCAGGCGCTGCTAAAAAGTAATGAAATCATGAAAAGTAGGACAAAGCATTTCCAGTGATGCAAATATGCCACCTATCAAACTCAGCGGACGCAGAAAGCAGCTTGGGACAGACCTGTGCGTGGAAACTTGTACAGAATTTCGCGGAGCACAAGTGTTAGCAGGGCGCACTGATGCCATTCGTGCCATAGGACAGTCGCAAGATGACATGTTTAAAGAGTTGAAATCTTTCACGCTGCGCGGTGGCCATCATAGTGAGTGCTGCTTCCCAGACTGATCAGACAACGGGCTGCTGTAGGGCAAGTATCCCATTCCATGGGCCTAGCTAGTAGGTCTGACAATCTGGCAGTCGAACAGACGTTTGAAGGTGCTGGAATTAGTGTCAAGGTCAAGCGCTCATACTCGCCAGGAAAGACCAGCTATGTCAGGCTGGCTGCCAGCATTGACAAGCAAGACAGCGCTAAGGACTTCTGTGTTCTGATGTTGGGAGCTCTGGGGCTCCTGCCAGAAGTGCGCGAGTATTGCTTTGAACGTTCAGGCAGAATGCGCTTGCCATAGAGGTTCAGTTCGTACAGATCATCCTGTTTGCGGATCGGAAAAGCTTATCCATATCGAGTTGCTGAGCCTGCTTCTATTTTTGATTGCAAGCGGCACGCTAGTTGCTGATGAGATGGTCAATGGTGGCTTGCCTCACGTCCATGAGCGTTACGAGTTTGACAATGATGTTTTGCAAGGCAGCTGCTATCATTGTCTGTAGCGACCAGCAGATAGCACAACCAACGAACTCCAGAAGCACAACTCCTTCCATAGCGTTGGTGGACTTACCTGTGGCCGTCGGCGAAACGATGCCGCGCCTGGGATGTTCAGCCAGCTCCACGACAGCAATCGGGCTATTTGTTTATGAAAACATTTGCCCAGCATGCCCTGCAGTGGCCCTGCAGGCTGGCCAACACAAGCTCTGCGGAAATCGATTTGCTCAGCAGCCAGGAAGAAGTGAACGACGGCGACGGTGACGGCGCTCAAGCTTCGCGCAGCCCTACTAGGGCCAATGCTGCGGACAGTGACGAGGATGCTGTTCTCCTTACGCCACGAAAGCCGCCGCGAAAGCATCCAGCTTCGCCGGCAAAGATCTGGCCCTTTGCGCGGAGGTCTCTTGGAAGACGGCGCCTCAGTCGTGTGAAGAATGTGAAGAAATCTGGAAACATCTTGCCGATCCAGTCCGTCCAATTCTACTCAGGACATGTTGAACGGAACTCGACCTGCCTGCCAAGCCCAACACCCAGAAATTTGCAGCATTCAGGTTAGGCTTTGGGGAGTGAAGAGGCGCCTCGAGATGTGTCTGCAGGTTCCGGAGAGACATCTGGTGATCCCACTCGCAGCTCCGACGACTGGGTTTTCCCAGCCTGCCCCGGTGGACGCCAGGCTTCCACAGCGAAGCCCCTCGATGGACCAGAGTGCGAGCTGGTTGAGGGAAGGGGCGATTTAGAGGCGCAAATCCGATCCGAAAGCTGATTTTCACTTGCGAGCTTTTCACTTGAGATTGCCTGTGGCTAGCTGCGTCTCAGAGGATGAAGATCACTCCAACGAAGCTCGCGTGGTACTCTTCCGTCGCAGTTCGATGCTTCCAGACGATGTAGGCGCAAGAACCTTCTCGGTTCATGGATTGTTGGGCCTGGCTGACAGGTATTGATCATCCTGATCCCCTCTGTGAGCCACAAGCAATTCGAGACACAAAGCCAGAGCCCTTCTCTGCGAAGGACCGAGTAGTTAGGCTTGAGGCCAGCGTCTTTCGGGCTGAGTTAGGCTCCCAAGCAAACGTGCTGCATTCTCATGCATGGCATCGCAACATTTGTACTTTTTGAGCCTCGTGGGAAAGGTGTTCAAGTTACTGTAAGTCATAGAGCCAGAGAGGCACGAAGCAACACGGCATCCCTGAAAGGACCAGATACGTATTCCTTTGCGAATAGTTCAAGGCGGCATGCTGTCCTCCCCGCAACTGGAGGCTGATAGCGGGAAATCCCTTACCTTGTGGCTTATTACGAGCGCGCATCAAACAGCGTCAATTGGGCGCTTGCAGGCTGTTGCCTTGGCATCCCGGCGCTTCCAACAGCGGTTGCCCTCAGATGCTCGCTGCGGCTTTCTTCTGGGAGACGGCACCGGCTGCGGCAAAGGTGCGATCTTCAGGAGTTCACGAGGCATCAACTTAGGAAGTCAGAAGGGACAAGCCTGGCCGCATTTCAAGAAGACTGTGAACCTGCCATTCGACGTGAGATGCATGCAAAGCCTGGCCCGCCTCTTTGGGCTAATTGTGTTGAATTTGTTTCGAATGATCTGGTCAGCTTGTCACTTCGTTGATTGCTGGCTCCTGCTCCATGACAAGGATCCACGAAGAGCGCCAAATATGCTAAATTCGCCCAGGCTATCCATTTTCAGGGCGTTCAACCCTCTAAAAATCCCCGCTACCCCCCTTTTTGCGGAGCTGTTCGCTCGTGGCGACCCCCTTCCCCCCCCCTCCCATGATGGGTGGCCTCGTCCAGCCTGACCATCCCACGTGAAATTCTAGGTTTGAGGCTGGCGCAGTACGCGGCGGCAAGCATTTTTCGTCCAAACCTCCTTTCAATCCCCCTTCCCCCCCCTCCCCCTCCCCCTTCACGGTACCTACGGCTGCAGCTCTCGAAGCTTGCAAAGTCCTTCACTAGGCTGATGGACTAAGGCCAGCCAACCCCTTCCATGAATGCTGCAACATGCATGCAACAAACAGTCTGAAGTGAGGCTTGCCTCCATTACTCCCTCGACCCT